GCAGATATTCAAGCTAAGGAGTTGAAGGTCTGTATGTTGCAAGAAGTTTCCAATTTTTTAAACTGACATTCTACCCTTTTTCAAAGTAGACATTTTCTCTTTGACCACTGAGGTTGGAAGCAACATCTTTACAACGTCAAAAAAACTACTCTACATCCTGAAACATCAACAACGTTACATTGATTCACAATTGAACAGATGAGAAATAAATTATGACATTGCTTGCAACAAGAAGTACATTAAGTCGCAGTTCATTCTTTCATTAAAAGTTTAAGCAAAATGACATGCACAGTTCATGGACACACCCCACCCCTATAAAACTCGATGCCACCCTGAGACATATTGTGCCTACAAGGACCTACAAGGAAATATTCTGGTTATCAATAGGATTTCTTATATATTAAAAAAAAAACCTTGGGCCAGAGCAGTCTCTTAAAAGTTCATTTTCACACCATTGAGGATAGCCTGTACCTTAACAAACTAATATGTTGATGCAAGTTAATGTTGGTTTGAAAGAAAAAATGATCCAACTGATCAAATTTGATGTTGATTACCACACATCAAAACGTTACTGAAGTAGCAAAAGTTGTCAAAGGTGACATCATCAATGCGTTAGTTCCTTAAAAGGTCATGACTAAGAATCAATCAAAATACATGTGCAATTCAGCTTACAATGTAGAGTACTTTCCAGTATGTTTATTCACTCTTGCTGTGCTTTTGCTGCTTGTTCAGTATGTTTTATTTGGGGATTTACATCTGAGACAGGAAGTGAGGTCTTCCGTTGTCATCAGGTCTGATTGTCAGAATGTCACATCCAGTTTCAGTCACTAGTAGGGTCTGCTCAAACTGAGCTGACCTCTTGCCATCCTGCAAGGAAAACATGTTGAAGTTGTCACCTGTGTTAAGATGACATAAATGTGCAGTGACAAGCTACTTTTTTAAGTCTGTCAAGAGGATTCAAATAGTTACAATCACTGGGCTCATATATAAAAGAGAGCCATTATCAAGGCACATGTTTCTGTCATTGTCCAAGGCCTGAGGTTCTTCAGAAGGCAAAACCATCTCATTCACACTCAATGGCTTAGGGTTAGAATACATTGCACAAAAACTGTTTCTTAACACACCTGTGTCATGGCAGTCCAATTGTCAGGCCAGATCTCATCTTGCCAAGTTCCTAGAATTTTGTCAGAATTAAGCACTCAAACCATAGAATTGATTTAATTGGAAGCCACTGTATCACACTAGGTGGGCTTCATTGATCACACCTTTGAGTAGTGTTCTTATAAATAAATATTAGTTTAATTAGACAGTGAAAAATAAAATTGATACAATGCATGTGGGCACAACTAATGGGCAGAGGGCTTAGTGGTAGTAGTTGACATGGATATAATGGTAGAGTATTCAAGCACAATCAATTGTCTGTTTCAAAATACCATGTACACAACATCAGAGGTGCCTGAGCCACAAAAAGAAGACAGACAAACCAGGGCAACATTTTGAACTTAGCAAACTATCACAAACTTAAAACATACATTAATGAGATATGCTTTAGGACATACACAAAATGAACAAAATGCTTCACACCTAAGAAGAGCTTCTTCACTGTTGTGTTCCAAAATTTCAAGAGACCCAATTCTAAACCAAGATTTCGCTAAGCGTAAAACAATTGCAACTGAAATAAAAGAACATGTTAAGTATGTTTGATAACTGAACTGGAAAGAAACTTCTGCTTCTCATTAGTGTTGTTCAATTTTAAGCAATCTTAAAATCTACTTTCCACTTAAATATGCACCTTTTTCTTGCTTTGGATGCCCATAACAGAACTGATCCCTCCAAACAAGGTCATTATTCACAATAAGACCAGCTGCTCTGTTGGTTGGTACACCAAAATGAAACATGGCTTCACTGGCCAGGAACTCATGCACAGATGACCTCAACACTTCACGTCCATCACCGTGTCTGATCAGTACAATTTATTTAGAAAAAGAATTCCACTATAAAAAGCATGTTCAGTGTATTTTATCGAAGTAAATGGCTTATAGAAAAAAACAAGAGGTTTGACACATGCATTCAGAGTTGCAAATATTGCCCACTCTATGTAATGCAGCAGAGGATAATAGAAGATGGCAACTGACTAAAAGATTTTACAAATAAATGTAAATCATTTAGTTTCAAATCAAAACTAAACCTTAAAGATGTGGAGAAGGCTAAAAATTGCTTAAACAGTACCTTGAATAGGGAGTCCTCCCTGAGCCTTTTAACTGAAGTTCCCACCTCTCCCCTATCCTGTTTAAATATTTAAAAAAGTATCAAGTCTTTTCACATCCAAATATAAGCTTAACTCCTGGATTTCCAATACTATTATTACAGTTCTAGAAACACTAATAGGAGTTTCCTTCACAGCTGTGCTTTGGTTAATATTTATTGGGGTGATTTGGTTAATATCTATTGGGGTGCTTTGGTTAATATTTATTGGGGTTGAATATTAATTGGGACATCGTCCTGTTTTCTTCTCCGGTTGCCGATACTATTCTGTACATCTAACAAATTTCAATAAAGTAAAGGTATCTCGTGAAACGCTTGCATCACAGGAAAAAAGAATGGTACAAGACATGCAATTAGTAACTTGTATGTTTTTCATTACCTATTCGTGTATTCCCCCAAAATTACAGCACAACCATCTCCTAGCTGACCTGCCCAATCGCCAAACCTAAAAAAGAATCAATTCAGCCCACAGAAGCACCAGTAAAATAATAAATTTCAAGTTTATTAGATTGTGCCTGAATCCTTTCATTAACAGCTTGTTTAATTAATTTACAAGAATATGATCCCAAATAAAAACAGTGAGAACGATGGAACTTTACCTGATGTCCACCGTATCTATGTGATAGCATAATTAAGTTTGGTATCATTTCATTTCCCGCAGCAAAGTCTATGAATGCTGGTGATTCTAAGACAGTATCATTCAAATCAAGAATGTCCGTCAATACTTCTTGAGAAAAAGCCACCAAATAAGGTTTATATTTCAGAGGAACTGGATGACCTTTTGAAAAAATTACTCCATGTACTTGTCTTATATAGTTTCTCGTTTCCTCGTCCACGTCAAATTC